GTGTGTTTTGGGGAGGCCAGAGTCGGGGTTCACAAAGTGACTGCCTTGTAATGGGAATTCATGGCATTTATCCATTGTGCACTTCCTGGGCCAGCAAACTGCCAGCCAAGGGCCAGTTCTGCCAACCATTTGGTTTGTATGGACTGAGAGCTAAGGATGGTTGGACAGTTTGAAATGGTTAGGGAAAAGTGTGTGTGTGTGTGTGTGTGTGTGTGTGTGTGTGTGTGTGTGAGAGAGAGAGAGAGAGAGAGAGAGAGAGAGAGAGAGAGAATAAAATCCACATGCCATTATCCACAGCTAGTGTTTGGTTGGAGCCCTATCACACCGTGTGTGCGTGTTCTCTTACGTGTGTCTAGTGTCACAGTAGCGGGTATGAGCAGCTGTGGGGAAGTCATGAAGCCAAAATCATTTGTCACCTGTACCTTTACTAAAAAGCTGACTTTTTTGTTGTTGTTTTGTTTTCTGACAACCTCTGACTTTCTCTTGGTGAGAAACAACAAAGGTTGTTTTCCTTCCTCCCTTCCTTTTTGAAAGACAGGGCCTCCCCATCTAGCTCAGGCAGGCCTCAAACTCACCAGCCTTCCTTCTGCCTCAGCATCCCAACTGCTGGGAGTGCCCGTGCATACGCTCCCCACTTTGCAAATATTTTTAAGGACAGGTGAACTCTCATTTTTTAAAAAAATTCTCCCTCTCTCTGTTTCTCTGTACAGTGGGCCATCCATCTAGTTTCAGAAGCTAAAAGTTAGATCATAACCTATGATCTCAGCTTTGCACTGTTTGGGTCTCCTGAATGGATTCATCCTCATGAAAATGTCAGTCCTTGAGGAGAACTCAGCTGTTTTTTTTTTTTTGAAGAGTCAGATTTTGCTCTATGTTTCTCTGGAAATGACGACTACAAGAGCTTTGGACTGGAATCAGCCAACTCCCGGGTCTCAGTCTTAACACCTGTGTAATTTGTCTGAGGTAGGAAGTAGGGCCGATGGACTCAGTAAGGAGAGGGGACGGGGCATCCCTGGCTCAAATTCCAGGGACTCTTAGAACACAGCAGTAGGATCGATGAGGAGGACAGTTCTATTTTTGAACTTCCAGGCAAGGTTCACAGGGAAGCTTAATCTACATCTGTCTTAACCCCTACAGACGCTTTCGTCTATGTCAGCAGAAGTTGCCATGCCAACGGCTATCCTTCCTGCATCACCTTCCCTTGATAGCCGGCTCTGCCTTATCGTCCATTAAAAGCTCCTCCGAGACTCATCTGGAGCTTTTCCTTGGATCTGTCTTTGAGTCCTAAAAGACCCACAGGACTCCCCACCATTCTCCCCCGTACCTATAAGTCCTGGTAGACCTGAAGTGTGCTCTGCCTGCTCCCCTGTCCATGCTCTCGGTAGGAGTGTCTGTGGCTGGGTTATAATCCTTTTTCAGATAAGACTTTACAAACTGGACACAAGGCCCACACAACACCACCTCCTGCCCTGAGGGTTCTGACAGTCCTGTGGTCCTTGCTGGGGTGCTGGGGTGTGGGAAGCTGTGGCTGGGTGGCCAGCGTGCTGAGCCTCCCAGTGCCTGACTCACGCCCACCTAGGAAGGGACCTAGCTGATCCCACAGAGCCCAGCTTTCATTGCCTCCCCTCCTGCTTGGGCCTGCCCTGTTCCTACACCTCTGGAACAAACAGGGCTTTGTTTCTCCTCACCTTTGGGGCTCACTAAAGGACTGACGAGGAAAATAAGTGCTTTTGGACTGGCACTCTGATGGAGCTGGGTGGCTTGTTGGGGCCCAAGTCTCCTTTAGAGACTATACAGCCAGTGTTCCTATGTGTTCTGGGACGGCCAGGGATGGACTTGCTGCAGTTCTGGGTCTAATTCACAGTAATGACATATTCAAGAGCCTGAAGAAAAATGGGAACTAGAGAACCAAGATTAGTCCTCGCCCCTTCCTGTGGGTGTACGCCTCCACTGAATTATCTCTTTAAATAAAACACACAAGGTCCCTGGTTTCATCCACGGCACCACAAAAAAACAAAACAACAACAAAAAGAAACATCTAATAGCTGAAGAAGCTCGTTAAAATAATTTAAAAATTAAGGCATTAAATCTAGACATCTTTTATCTATCCATGACAAAAATAAAAATTTTTTTAAATGGAGCTTCGAAAAAACTGGATTATTCTGGCTTGGTACAGATCATACATCACCAAAGTGGATTAAAGGTTCAAAGACTGAGTTTCATTTATATTCCGAATCCGGCCAGAGGCAGCAGGTCCTTGCCACGATTCCTCTGGTTATCTCCTATGAAGAGCTTGTCACTGGGGTGCCGGGGGCCAAGAGTGGCTTCTGTTGGCATTTAGAGATTCAGTTTTGCAGGATGGAGGTTAAATCACCAGCCATCTCGTTTATTTGCTTATTCCTTAGTAGAGCAAAACAGCTCAAACAGGCCAGTGTCTGGAAGTAAAGGAATTCTAGAAATCAAGGCTTTTTTTTTGTTCCCCACACAGGTAGACCATTGATTATGTTGAAATGAAATATGTTCTTTCCTGTTTTTCAAGGGAGGCAAGTGATGCTAATAGTGCCAGCTGCACCCTTAAAGTTGAAATGGGTGAATTTACATGCAAAATGCACTTCCATGAAGTGATTAGCCACAAGGTCCCAAACTAGCAAACAGAATACGAGAACTTACTAGTGATATCGAAGTTTAGGGACACACCTAACAGAACTAAAATAAAAGCTAAAACTGTACTTAATACTTCAGAGAATATACTCTGTATAACTTGAGTCTCAATTCCAGTCCTGCTTTAAGTACTTGTAGGGGAAGGAAACATGTCCATCCACCCAAGAGACAGATTTGTTTGTGCGTGTGTGTGTGTGTGTGTGTGTGTGTGTGTGTGTGTGCCATGCATGACCTGGGCACCAAGAATTGAAACAAAACAGAGGCTGAGGAAGTAATTCAGCTGGTAGAGCGCTTGCCTCAAATACTGGAAGTCCTGACTATAATGGGGTGTGGCGCCATACACCTGTGATCCCAGCCCTTGAAAGGTGGAGTCACGAAGACTAAGAAATTCAAGTCGTCCTCAGTTACCCTGAATCGTGCCAGTCATAAAGGAAAGAACGAAAAAAAAAAAATAAATAAATAAAAATGTCCTTTGCCTGTCTTGTGCGCAGAGAAGGCTGCTCCCCATGCTGAAGAACAGTTTATACAACCAGAGTTTGCTTTGTTCTTGAAGCCAAACTCTGACAGTCGAGAAAATATCCAGGTCTTCTGATGTTGAGAAGTCTGGACACACACACACCACTGATTTCAGGCCCTCAGGACTTGGGGTCAGGTGTCTGTTCTTTAGGGGGAGAGGCCTGTGGGTCACCTGCAGTGGCTTCATTCTGCCCCGGGATCTGCGTCAGCACAGGACACAGACACACAGGTTCATTCGTGTCCTCTGTGTGCTCAGCGCTCTGAAGCATAGATCCTGCTTTCAGGATTTAATTAAAGAGACAGAGTCGAATATTTTCTGGGGCTGACTTCTCCTTTAGGGTGTCATACTCCAGTGGACCAAGGGGCCTGAAAACATAGCTACAAAGCCTCCGGAGCTGGGCAGAAAGGTGGCAGCTGGCCTGCTTGCCTCTAACCCTGATTTGGATGCTCTCAGAAGAGCCCTTACCTTTTCTATTTTAGAGTCAAAGAGAGTCGCAAAGAGACTCCGGGACCCTGATGGCCTCTTGAGGAGTTTCCTTTATTGAAAATCCTAGCTGTCAAATCTGGTTTGCCAAGACCTTAGCTTTAAATCTAAAGAATTACTGAGACCTATTTTTAGAATTTTTATTAATTCATTATTACTAGAGGTGTACATGGTGTGTGTGAGTATGTGGGTACCTGCCTGCCACTTCACTTACGTGGAGGTCAGAGGACCACTCCGTGGAGTCAGTTCTCTCCTTCCACCACAGCCCTGGTTCCAGGGAAAGAGCTCAGAGGGTCAGGCTGAGCCACAAGCACCTTTACCTGCTGAGCCAGCTGAGGGACGTGAGAAATTTTACAGTAGAATAACCCAAAACGATACAATCTCTTCAGTGTAAACAGAGATTTCCACCTATCTTTAGAGGAGAAGGGGGCCTCTAGCAGGTGCTGTCAAGCTTTACTTCACTGATGTGACCCCTAAGGACAGGGTTTAACCCTTTGGGGCTCACTTTCATCCTTTGCAAGATGACAGTAGGTCTCATGTCACTGGGCGATGAGGGATTCCAGCTACTTACAGACAGCAAGTCCAGCATCCCCTCTCTTGGGAAGCACAGTGTTTGGGTGCAAGGCTCGGTCCTCAAGGAAGCCCCCTTTCTTCTCTGAGTAGCCTTTTCATCTTGATTAAAAGTCCCCATGCAGTGCCGTCAGGCTCCCTTGTGATGCTCTCTGATGGTCCCACCTAGCCTAACCTTCTTGACCTCTCTGAATCCGAGCTGTCGCTACCTAGTTCTTGGACTGTGCTGGCTAAGAGGGTGTGTTGCCTTTCCAGAGACTGTGAAAATAGTCTATGAAAGAGCTCCCAAGGGCCATGTCAGAAGAAAGAACCATAAAGACCAGATTGCTGCACAAACTTCCTCCTTCTTTTTCTTCAGGAATAAAAAAAAAACAAAAACAAAAACCTTTTACTCGCAACAGTGTGGCCTTTCTTCGCTGCCTCGGCAGCGTTCAGAACTCTTCAGCCCCAAGGTAGCGATAAATGAGCACACTATCAAAGAAAGCAGGAGTTTCCACTCACACACCCCACTTCTGCCCCAGTTGTTACAGGATGCCCAACCATTGATTTTTGTCTCAGGTTCTCAGTCTGTTTTCACTTAAAAAAACAAAAATAGCTTACACTTTTACAATGAATCATCCCCCACCCCCAGGAAGCTCCCACAAATCAATAGAATGGCGAGGTAGAAGATTGGGGTGGCAGAGGGAAGAGACATACAGAAGCTATTCACTGATTGAAGGGAACGTTGATATGGAGTGGCAAGTTACACTCCTTGAAAAAGCACTCTTACCCCAAGTCCTGGAGCAGGTCTGCTCCTCCATCGGATCGACCCCACAGCTCTGAGGGATCCTGGATACTCATGTTCCCTCCTAGAAGTTCCGCTCTGCCCATTCGTTCCTTTGCTTCTGATGGCCACCTTCCTGCCAGGTGCTGTTGAGAGAGAAGGGCTCCAGGGCTGGACACACACTGCTCCTCAGTGAGACAGGAGCCTGCAGTGGCTGAGGCTCCCACTAGCGAGGAAGTGAAACTTGGTTGCTCCGCCCACTGACACTGCCACCCCGGGCCTGAGGCATAGGCAGGGGTGTTCTGTCAGTCAGGAAGTGTGCAAACTCGCAGCACCTCTGACACCCACAGTGCATCACCAAGTCAGTTTTTGCCCAAAGGAAACAGCAAGACCACCCACCCAGGATTGAACTGTTAGTTCTGACTCTCCAGAGGACGCCAAACTGGAGCTTCCCCCTAGGCAAAAAGTAGAAGAGGGGCATGCGCACACCCACCTCATACACCGGCGCAAGGACCACCAAGGAAACTTCTATATCAGAAACATTTTCTGAGTGGGTTTAAAAAAATTAAAGTTTAAAAAAAAAAAAGGGAAGGAAGGAAGGAAAGAAAGAAAGTAACGTATGGTGGTACATACGTTTAATCCTAGCACTCAGGAGGCAGAGGCAGACAGATTTCTGTGAGTTCGAGGCCAGCCTGGTCTAAAAAGTGAGTTCCAGGACAGCCAGAATTACACAGAGAAACCCTGTCATGAAAAAAAAAAAAATTAGAGTCAAGCAACCTGTCCCACTTGATCCTAGCTTGTTTTTGGTACTGTCTCCAAATTTCTTTCCAAGATCCCTTGAAGCTTACTTAGGTCGGGGGGGACAGTTACTGTTTCTCTTATGGAAGAAGGACAGGGGGCTAAGGCTGTCATACGCATGTCACACGCATGCCCAAAGCCCTGGGGTCCATCCCCAACACCAAAGAGAGTCCTGTAATCCCAGCACTTAGGAGGTAGACAAAAAGATTACAAGTTTCTGGCTACCCTCCTCCACATGGTGAATTTAAGGCCAGCCTGTTTCAAAACAACAGAAATAAATAAACAAGGGAAGGGATTCAGTGAGAAGACCTCAAAAGAAAGTTACAGAATAGCAGCTGTCTGGTCCTCTGGTGAGGGGGAGTCGGTCACATTAGCGCTCACTGGCCTTCAGTGGATTGATGTAGGCTGGAGATGCAGTGCTATCTAGACTCCTATGCAGGGGCGAATTTCATCTGCCTGGAAGGGCGGCAGTGGGTGGATAAGGAGCCTCCTCTCTGCATGTACCTCTTCCATTATCCCATGATGAACTGGGGTTCTCCAGGGGGCTAGTTCATGGGGTATCATAAGGAAATTGCTAGAATGAAGATCAGGGCGAGCATGCTATACAGCGGCAGTAGTCAGAGGCTGCTGCTGTCTCCTTAGGAATCTTCCTCTCGTCTCTTCTTCCCAGTGGTCCCCGGGGGCCTGGCTTCCTCTGGTTGCCACTGAAATTCCTCAGTTCCCAGAGACAGTCCTGGGGAGAATCACCCCTGCTAACACACACATAACTGAGCACACAAAGCAACTATAGTGCTTTTGTAGGGTAGGGAGGGACCGTGAGCACTGATGGGGGGCGGGCAGGACAGTGGGACAGCGGGACAGCAGGACAGCCAGTGCAACAGATTGCCTCTCCCTTCCTGTAGCCCTTTGTTCAGGTTTGACTTCATTTGTTCCCATTTTAGCACATTCTGGGGCTTCCATTTTTCCTATTTTTTTTTAGGGGGAAGTAACAGCCTAAGACCCCCTCTCTTTTTCTCAATCTTTCTGGACCCCTTTCCTTTTTTTCTTTTTAATTTATTAGATTAAAAAAAATACCAGGCTGGAGGGATGGCTCAGTGGTTAAGAGCTTTGCCTGCTCTTCCAAAGGTCCTGAGTTCAATTCCCGGCAACCACATGTGCTCACAACCATCTGTAATGAGATTTGGTGCCCTCTTCTGGCCTGCAGGGATACACGAACATTGAATACATAATAAATAAATAAATCTTTAAAAAAAAAAACCCTATTAGGTTAAGGTTTAAAAAAAAAGAAAATAAATAAAAAAATACCAATCCAAGTTCCCACTCCTTCCCCTCCTCTCATTCCCTCCACACACCCTCTCACCCCACCCTCCTCTAATCCTCAGAAAGGATAAGGCACATTGCCTTGTGGAAGGTCCAAGACCCTTGCTACTATATCTAGGCAGAGCAAGGTATCCATCCAAAGAGAATAGGATCCCAAAAGCCAGTACATGCAGTAGGGATAAATCCTGGTCCCCTTTCTTATCTTGTTCCCCATCTATTGCCTTCTCCTTTGATAACAGCCTCCTGCATGTTACTCCCTTTCTCTAGGTGCCCCCCCCCCCTTCTTAGCCCTGGCCTCAGATCTACCCATGCAGTATCGTTCTGTCCTATCTACCACAATTAAGAGTTGGTGTCTACAAAGTGCTGGGTGTACACAGAAATATTTAACAGCATAACTTATACTAGATCAGATTTAACAGCACACTTTATGTTAGATACATTAGCTGTTGCTTTTCTCATAATTTATTTCTTTTATGCCTATGAGTTGCTTTGTCTGCTTTTATGCTTGTATGTGCACCGTGTGCGTGCCCAAGGCTCATAGAAATAGAAGAGGGCATCCGATTCCCTGGAACTGGAGGAACTGGAGTCACTGGCAGTCGTGAGCCATCACGTGTGTGCTTAGAATAAATCATGACCACCTATGAGAGCAGTAAGTGCTACCAAGCCGTTTCTCTCCAAACCTTAATTTTTTTTTTATTAAGGAACCTGATTTTCGCTTCCAAATAACCTCTCAAGGTATGTATGCAGAAAGTAGTTTAAACAATTTTGGACTATCTTACTCTTTGTTGATTTTTTTCCCCTTTTGGCTATGCTGAGGGCCTCATGCATTCTAGGCAAGCATTCTACCAATGAGTTTCATCTGGAATCATGTTGGAGTGAAGGCCGCTTGTTGGTTCCCAGTCGCTTAGGCCCTAAATAATCACACAGAGACTGTATTAATTAAATCACTGCTTGGCCCATTAGCTCTAGCTTCTTATTGGCTAGCTTTTATATCTTAACCCATTTCTAGTAATCTGTGTATCGCCACAAGGCTGTGGCTTACCAGCTAAAGGCATCGTCTCTGGTGGTGGCTCCATGGCTTCTCCTGACTCTGCCTCCTTCCTCTCAGCATTCAGTTTAGTTTTCCCCTCCTACCTAAGTTCTGTCCTGGTATAGGATTAAAGCAGTTTCTTTATTCATTAATGGTAATCACAGCATACAGAGGGAAATTCCACACCAGAATCATCATGTGTGTGTGTGTGTGTTGTATGTGGTCACACATGCACAGGTATGTGGAAGCCTAAAACTGATGTCAAGTATCTTTCTTGATTGTTCATCATGTTATTCATTAAGCAAGGTCTCCCTCTGAACCGGTTCTGGTTAGTCTAACCAGCCAGCTTGCCTCGAAAACCATCATCTCTGCCTTCTGAGCACTGGGACTGCAGGCAGCCTCCTTTCCTGCCTGGATTCAGATGTGTCGTGTGCTCAGAATTCTGGTCCTCACACTCACATGGGAGGCACTTTATCCTCAGTGCCATCTCCTCATTCCTTTGACCATCTTTTCAGAAACATCTTCTTTATCAAAATCTGGTAAACCTTTCTTTAAACTATCACATTAATATGATGACTGTTCTTACCCAGGTAAACAGGGCTACAAAATGAGACATTATCTCAAAACAAAGAAACAACGACTAAGAAGAAGATGCTCCATTGGAAGAAAGACATCTGATATTTGCGCTCCTCTGATGAGGGTAGGGAAAACAAATTACTCCTTGGAACTGAAGACGGCCTTTGCCTTTTCTTATCTATTTGTCCTTACAGAAAGCTCAGAGATCACAACATTTGCCTTTCGTTTAGTCACCTGACAAGCCCACCGTCACCATCAACAAAGAATAGGGTCCTCTGGGCTCCTCTGGTACTGTTTGTTAGTAAACATGGCCCCTTTATCTCCACAGCTCCCTGAGTGCAGATGGGAAATAAAGGCCACATGCTTTTTCTCACAACTGCCATGAACCAAAGTTACCACAGCTAAGGGTAGAGGTGCCCCATTTAGTCAGCCTTTTGGCGCTGTGACAAGCCATCTGAACAAATAACACATTTTGCTACTACATTGAGATAAAACACACCTTTTTTCCTTGATCTATTGTTTAGGTGAAGAAAATATATAACTTTTTAAAAACAAATATTCAGAGTTACTTACGCCCCTTTGCATCCACACATGACATAGGTTTTGTGTCGATGCTCAGGACTGTGTGTATTTAACATTTGTATTTAACCTCCTGTTACAGGGAGCCGCGTGACTTTGGACAGCAGTGTTTCCACATCGCTCCAGCAATCAGAAGGAGAGCACTGCACTGTTCAAGCTCCCTAGTTTCCTAGAACCGCAGAGCCTCTTTCCGCCGTGGACCATTAGGCGCCTTCTGCCAAGCCTTCGCTGCGCCACTCGCTTTCCGACTTCAAGACACGGTGTTCTGAAACATGCTAACATCTGCATTTGCGGGTTCGTGTGGCAGGTGCCGTTTGTGCTGTTGTAGCGTTACACCATCTGCATGGAAAGGTCGTGCTTAATCATCTCGGCACTGATTTCTGAACAGTGAAAGCATGGGCTGAAATGAAACCTCCAACTTTCCAGTTATTGCGTTTAGGCAGCAAAAGCAGCCTCTGACTCAAGGCGATGCAGCCAAGTCATCTGAGCTCCGCTGGATGCTACGGGCCTTATCCTGACCTTGCTTTTTCTTCTTCGTTGACCCTCATTATAGATAATCAACGTCAGTGACAATAAGCAAAGACGAGCAGAGCAACTGGCCAGCTGTAGTCATTGTGATATTTTTGGTTTCCTAGAGGCATCCACATAAGATTAAACATGAATATGGGTCAACTTTAAAATTACCAGGGCTGGCAAGAGTGAGGAGACAGATCAGCTAAGATGTCCGAGCACTTTGGGGCTGGAGTTCACAAATGACTGGGAACCCATTCGACAGGAGGAAAACCATGGCACCCAGCCAACCAGCTACCTGGCACTAATGAAGTCATGGCTCTTGGAAGGGAACCTACACTGTACCAAGCCAG